TTTACGACCCCATCTTCTTGTCCTGTTGCTGGTTAGAGAAAAGGCCAACCCCCACCTGGCTACAACCTCCTGTCATGTGTGTTTGGATCATCTTTTACAAAGCCACAACCTTGTTTCCATTCTCACCCCGATGTGAAGGAGCTGGTGTAAACAACTCACTGAAATGAGGAGATGCTCACAATCCTCCCCTCTGCACAGAAAACAAACCGGTTTTTTCACTGCGGTTTCAAGCTCTTGTCAAAGTCACAGGAAACGGCACAAGTGGAAGTAAAACGCGTAAGAAAATGATTCAGTTCAATGAAATCATTCGCCCCTGCTTCCCACACACCACACGTATCTGGCATTTTCTTCTGACAGAAGAGTAAATCTGCTGCTGCCTTTGGGGGGAATTGTCCTTAAAGATGAATAGGTCATTAAAAAAACCCTGTTCTGATAAATATTTCCCCTCTGTGTAACTCAGACTAAGCACACTGACATCATATCAAGGCTTTCTGCCGTGTGGCAGCACCAGGTGTGAAAGGCCTCTTGGTGTTCTGAGGTGCTTACACACCCCTGCAGCTGCTCTGCCCCAGCTCATCTGCCTTGTAGCAATCCCAAATTTTGTCCCTTTTCTCCGGGAAATCACCCTGGGAGCAGCCAGGACTCAGGTGCTGCTGGCCTGGGAACATGGCCAGGTGGTTGTAATTTACGATCTGAAGAAATAATCACTAATCCCATTTTTCCCTTCTCCCAAGAGGAACGAAGCCAGCCCTGTTTCCACAGCTGTCAGGGAACCAGCAGGGTGGAATGTGGATGATTTTGCACCATGTTAACCTTTTTCCTCAGCTCCACGGTCGCTGGGTCTGGATTAACCACGCACTGTGGGAAAGCGCTGGAGCCTCACCCTGTTCCTATCACTTTGGTAATCTCAAGATTAGAACAGAGCCTGAGCCTGGAAGAAGAGAGGTTAAACAGTGCAAATCATGGAATCATGGAAGGGTCTGTCCCTTCCAGGGACATTAAAAATCACCTAATTCCACACCCTGCCACTTTCCACTGTCCCAGGCTGCTCCAGCCCCATCCAGCCTGGCCCTGGCCAGGGATCCAGGGGCAGCCACAGCTGCTCTGGGCACCAGTGCCAGGGCCTCACCTCCCTCCCAGGGAAGGATTTGCCCCTAACTATTGCACTTTTATCTTCTTTTTCTGCTTTGGTCAGGGTCGGGATTAAATATGTAGACATGGTATTTCACGTTCAGACTCAGATGTTTATTAATTCTTATCTATAGTGCAGTCTTAAAAGTGATGAGTTCTGCATTTCACTAACAAGTCACAAAATGGCCTCATATTTATCTTTAGAAGGTCTTTTAAGGAAAAACTATCTAATTAAGAAATGATACTTAAATTATTTTTACTTTTAACCTAATAACCAACCACCTGTGTTCCACAATGTAGATTTTTCTAATTACAGAATACCACCCAAACCCATGGAGAAGAAGGTGAAGAAGAAAGACCAGCCACTGCCCTAAAACTTCTATTTTGGGCACAGAAAGCCCAAAATTCTCAGTAACCAGGGTGCCAACACCTAAAACATGTATGGATGTACCAAGGTTCCCAGGCTTGACCTCCTCTTGTTCCCTTTTCCCCACATTTTACCTGCAGGAGCTGCTTCCAACAACTCTCTTTCCTTCTCACCAGCCTTTTCCATGGCTTTGCCTTGACAAGGATAAAATCCTTTTCCTTGGTGGGTTTTCATGCTGAAAACCACCCCAGATCTGCATTATTGATGCCTTACAGGCAGGGCTTGTTTCTCAGCACAGCAACTGCTGCTGCAAAGGTTCTTAAATCCTGGAGCTGCTCAGGATTGCATAAGTGGCTTAGCCTGGGGCTGCTCGTGGAGGAGAGCAGCTTTACCTCTCTTCCACCTAAATCCATGTCCTGAGCTCAGGACCACGTCCAGGAATGACCCAGGAGCCCAAAGGCCATGTCCTGCAGCCAGAATTAAATTCACACACACCTCTCTTAAAAAAAAACAGGGGCTGAGCTGCTCTGACACTTGGATTTCACTGAAATTGAGTGTTCAGTTTCCCAATCCTGTCTGCTACATGAGGTTTTGCCTTCTTTTCCTTGATTTTGGGACATTGCTGGTTGTTCTGTGACATGAAATCAATGTTCTTCTAAAAATTCCTCCAAGAACTATGTTAATAACAGGGGGACATTTCCAACCTATACCAAAAATTGTCTGTGTTTACCACAACATTCCAGCCTACAGGAAGAATGCAATTTTGTATTAAAACTCTTAAAGTCGTTTTCTCTAAGGAATTAATCATCTGTAATTGTGGCTTTGTTTCTTGCTTAGAAAGAGAATAGGCTGGCAAAGAGCTGCAGAAAAGTAAATAAAGAAAAATAAACTCTTTTTTCCTGCTAAGTACTGGGGTGCAGTGACACATCTGAAGAATTATTTTGTATCTTACATCCTTCTTTATTTTGCAAATTCCAGGATGCACTGATATTCCACCACAAAAATAAGAGGCAAAATACAGAAGATGAGATCTGACTGCCTTGGTATTTGTGGTTTAAAAACCAAACTAAATTCCAACAAATTTCTCCTTGCAGCCTTCTTTAAAGAAGAGAGAGGAATGGATGCAGGGATTATCCCTTACTCATCCACTCTGCAGTTTGATTTCAAGCTTCACCTTTCCCTCTGAAATGGGATATTTCCACTTCAATTTAAACAGTTGAAATGTTTTAAAAGCTCTTTTTTAAAACAGTATTTCAAGTTACAGTGAGGGGCATACGGTAAAGTGCTTTAAATCTCTGATGGCATCATCTTGGGATTGACAGAACTTTTATATAAAGGTGATTTAACACTGAGCGGTTCCAGTTTGTCATTGATTTGTTCCTGGCAGCAACTCTGGGGCCTGGTTCTCCTCACTCGTATCAGCAAAATTCAGGAGGATGCCATGAGGTCAGAGATGAGTAAAAGATGTAAAATTCCCTAACCTGTAGTAGGATTTGAAAGCATTCTGAGAACAACTCTGTGATCTCGCACGCTCATGAAGAGCGCTGTGGAAATCAGAAATCATGTTACAAATGATATTTTTGGTTCTCCCCGTGCTGGAGGATGGGGAGCAGCCAGGATGCAGGGCCAGGAGGAGCAGGAGGAGAGGGTCACCCAACCAAACCCTGGGTGCTCCAAAGCAGCCCTTCAGCTGGGATTTTGGGTACCCCACAGAACACCTCGGAGCCCGGGGAGCCCCTGGCTGCTCGTGGAGAGTATAAATAGACAGCCAAGTGCACAAGTTCTCTACATCTGATCTGCTGCTGAATTTATCTTCAGCTTCCTGTGCTCACAGAACATGAGCGAAACCCCGCTGGTGACACGGTTTTCAGAGAGCTCTGCTTGGAAAAGGAAGCAAGAGAATTTATTTTGAGACACTGGGAAGGTGTGAATTGCTTCCGAGTAATTAACTACTTCTAAACACTGTGCCCAACGCTTTTTTTTTTTTTTTTTAAACTAATAATCTCAGTTTGGGGAAGGAGAGCTACTTCATGTATGTGGTCCAAGGGTACTTGGCAAACCAGAGATTAGATTTTGTGCAGCCCTGGTTCCCAGGGTGCCAAGCTGCAGGGGGATTTCCTGGGCAGGCTGCAGCGAGCTGCCAGAGCCGTGGGTGGGAGGTGGAACAGCTCAATTCCCGACTTTCCTGGCCGGGGGGATGAGTTCACTCACTGTGCTCCAAGCTGGGGAGTGGGAAGGTGCTGCTGCCCTGTCCCAGCCCTGCAGCAGGCCTGCTCATGTTGCTGCTTGCCCTCACTGGCTGCTTTTTCCCGTTGCCATCTCTCTGGTTCTTCATTGTTCTTACATCAAACCAAACCAACGGTTTTATTTTCATTTCTCCCCGCCAGATTTCTCTGCTGAAAAAGATCCCTTCT